GAGAGAGAGAGAGAGAGAGAGAGAGAGAGAGAGAGAGAGAGAGAGAGAGAGAGAGAGAGAGAGAGAGCTGTTCCTTGACTGTGGTTTTGACTCCGGTTGCAGGGACTTTGAACGGGAGCTTCATGAGGTCGTTGATGTGATCTTCCCTGGTCCTCTTGGTGCGGTTGTGAGCAAGTTTGGAAGAGAAGAACGCAAAAAAGCAGTAGTAGTGGTAGATCTTGCTCGTGCAAGGTGGGCTGAGAGGTTGGCCAATGGAGAGAGCTGTTGACTAGTGCTTAGTGCTGGTTGTTTTGTTAGAGCTACTGCCGCTTGAACTTTGGTTTCCTGTCATGTGGCACATCTTCTCTTACCTGTTGCCAATGGATCTGGAGTGCTTCTGCCTAGCATTCAAACTGTCATACATGTGCTGTTAGTCAGATAGGGTGCTTCGTATTCATTGACGGGTGCATGTGGATGAGACCGGCCTAGCATGCAAACTGCCATGCATGTGCTATTCGTGCTGCAGGTGAAGGAGACCCTTGGGCGGCACTGAGTGCAGCATAACAAAGTGGAGGACCGTGACATTGTGCCCTTCAGTGTTTGTCTTTTTTTGCTCCTAAGGGTTCCAGCAGGTGATGGACTCCTGTCTAGACTTGTATCATCACCCGTGGGCTGCTGGCTGGGGCAGGAATTTATAATCTCACATTCCCTCCGCCTGTTGGTAGTATGCTCCCACTCACTCAGCGGGGTTATGTGCTTTGCGTTCTGCCAGCTGGCCCTGCTTTGCAGTTGTGCGTGCCTGGGATTGGAGGCTTTCAGCCAGTAAAGAATTCGCTGATGGGACTTTCCCGATGTTCTGTAGATTGTGTTTGGGGGACAGTGCACACCGTTATGGCAGAGGTGGTTTACATTACTTTGCCATGAAGGTCTCCGGTACTGTGTGCTTTGGCAATTATCCTACTCCATGCATCTCTGCCTGCGGATGTGCATGTACTTGATGCGAGAAAGTAGTGTCAGAGCTCTATTGTGAAACCTAAGGAAATGCTGTTGACCACAGAACACAAGACGAGGTCTCTCTCAGGTGTCTCTCCTGTCCTCAATCTGCACTGCTCTGGACTGTGGCAGTGTGAGCTTCTCTGTCACCCGCGCATCCCCTTTCCAAGATCAAATTGGCTTTGTGGCAATCTCTGATTAGCTGGCACTGTTTGCGAGAGCGCTGGTGGGATAACTTTTCCCTGCTGCTGCAGATGAGAATCCACATAATTTGCTGTTTTGCTGATGGTAAAGCGGGTTGAGGTTTGTGACCACGGCTGTTCTATTTCAGTTGGGAGTTCTTGGTTGAAGCACCTTTGGCACGGTGTTGGCAAGGTGCATACCGACCTCCAAGGCGTTTTCTGGATGAAGTGTGTCATTTTATAATTCTGCTGATCAACGGAAAGCAGGTTCAATGGCGTCTACACCGTTTGTTTGTCCTGACTGTGGCCGAGAACACTTTCCCTTTTGCAATGGCCCCATGCCCTCATCACATGGTTGTCATCCAGTCCACCTGAATGTGCGAGGGCCAGTTGGTATGGCCGATCGTGTACAGCTCGATCCGATGGCTGCAGCACATTCATTGATGCCTCCTGATGGTGGTGGGGGTGGGCATCTCGTTTCCATTTTACCCAGACAAGAGGTGAGGACTCTTTACACGGATCCTGCCGAGGATTCTTTTCTTCTCTCAAGAGGTCCATCTTCCATGGGATCCCCTTCGTTGACTAGCTGCAGGATGGGGGATTACCCCCTGAGGCCCCTGCTTCCACCACAGGCTATGGTTCTTTCCCCAGTTGGAAATCGAGTCAATGCCTTCTCACCAGGTGCTCAGATCAGCCCGATTGAAAGTCAGGAATTACGGCGTCCAGGTTATTCCATGGCTGAGCTGAGGGAGAGGCGATGGGAGGCAGAGATGGGACTAAGACATGATCCTCATGAAGAGTTGATGACGTCACAATATGGATTGCCGCGTGGGATGGCTGTGGCAGATCGACGTTTGCAGACCATGCAAGGTGTTAGCGAGCTAAGGATGCTCAGAGGTGACGATTATGTGCAAAGATCTCACTATGAGCGGGAACTGATAGAAGCGAATGATGTAAGATCTCAGTATGGCTCGTCTCCTACCATGTATCCCCACCGCCAGCGCCGAATGCAGGTTTTAGAACCTTTGCTGAGGGCAAACTTCCCAAATGCGCACATGCACCCGGCCCGTCAGGAGCAACCCGTGCATCCGATGGCTCGTGATGATCCTGACTGGCAAGGACAGCATCCCCTGAGAATGCCTTTTGGTGGTGATAGTGCAGCCAGCAGCATGCGGGTGCCATCAGCATCTTTCAATAACCGGGATGGAATATTGAGGCCCGGAACAAGACAGGATTTGATGCCTCATCACACTGATCTTGTTCCTGGTTTTCAATCTGAACTGCATTTGGCCCGTCGCTTGGATCCCCATCCGGGTCCTCTTCTTGAACCCCGCGTGGAGCGACACCTGGATTCTCAGTTTGAGCGTCAGCGTCATTTGAGTCCCTGGCGTGATCGTGCTCTACCTGATTCTCAGCTAATGGGCAGGCACGCCCATCAGGTGGGTGGTCAGCTCAATGATCGCCCTCCTGTTACTCTGGATCGCCATCACAATCTTGATCGCGCTTTAGACCGCAGATTGGACCGCCAGGTGGATCACAGCATGGATCGAAAGAAGCAGGAGCAACCGGTGGACCGAGGTATGGGATGTGTGGTGGATCATAGTGTGGAGGAGAATCTTGGCTCTCAGCCGGATAGGAAGGATGCCAGTTTTGGCCATCACGAGGGCCCGATTGTAGACAGAGCTCCGGACTGCCTGCTCCAGGATGGCATTAGCGATCAGTGTCCGGATCAGGCCGCAAGCCATGGAACAAGTGGGACTGTCGACTCTGAGTTGAATCGTGGCATGTCTCATGTCCCTGAGCATATGTCGAGTGGCAATCTGAATCACAATCTAGATCACCATGGTACAGAACAGGATCGCGATGCTGGTGATTGCAAACGTGGAGAGCACAGAGATAATCAAACCATAGAAAAGGACCGCCTACCTCAAAACCCCTCGAATAATCAGGTGAAACGGTTGGCAGAACAACAGCATCCATTACAGCCTCAACATGAAGAGAGGCCAGCTGCAATAGTGAAGCCTGGAAAATATCAGCAGCAGTCCTTGTCTGATCGTGAAAAGACAACTGTACAGCGAACAAATGAGCGCGACTCTGGAAGATCATCCCATGCCGCAGGTGACTTCGACAGGAACAGCGCAGAGGGAGATGCTCGTAGACCTGGAATTGGACAGGAGCTGTCTCAAATGCGGACGAGTGGACACCATCACTCTCGTCATGATCCCTCTGAACCTTCATCTCAGCTGGTGCAGCAAGAACAACATGGTCAACAGCATGATGAAGCTGTGGAGGTTGGCTCGCAGGAAACGAGTTTTCACTCAAATCCAGGTGTGAGCACGAGGGAACTTCATGTGCCCACAGCAGAGGTGGAAGCCGAGTACGATGCAATGGAGATGGAAGATGGAAGTTGGCAAACACGAGACGATAGGACTGCTAATGCTGGTCTGATGGGCAGCACACCTGCTGCGCAGGCCGGATTATTGCAGACCCCAGAGAGCGGGCGACTATCTGCAAATGACCTCCATAACGCACAGTGCGCTTCACAACTCAGTATTCATCATGGGGTTGGCAGGGGAGCCGCTGTTTCTTCCAGTTCTCCTGGTATGAAGTGGGACAACGGGCCCTATGCCAGTGTGTACGGTAGCTTCCTGCACGCTGGCCATGGGAATGCGGTGGCTCAACACACCGCCTTCACAGTAGCTCAGCAAGGTTCCACTTTGGTAGGATCCCAGTTGGGCAGCGCATCCTCTGGAAACGGTTATGTGCAGGGCGTGATGAATCGGGGAGCTCGGCTATTGCCTCCTGTCCCGCGTTATTCTTCTGAAGGTATGGCCGCAGAATCTCAACATGTCCGGGACGTTTACCCGACAGAAGCTGCGCAGGCAAGTTCACTCTTCATGCCTGCAGGGGGACATGTGCCAAGTTCCCAGCCTTTGCGTCATCCTGTCATGGCGGGTGCTCTTTTGCTACCTATGGAGGCCGCGACATCACCATCATCTCGAGCTGTCAATGCAGGGGAGGCATTCCCACCCCATCAGCCTCTGCAACAGACTGCTGTGATGGATCATGCAAATCAAAGTTTGGGGACGTCCATGCCTGCAACAATGCACCACTCTCCTGTGAGTGACATTTTTTTGCACTGAGCATTCAATCTCCAAAAACTCCCCCACCCATGTTCAGTCAGTTTCAGTTTTTGCCTGATTGTCTTTTTTTTGCTGTTTCTTTGACGTTACTTTAGATGCCCAACGTGCTTTCTATGCCCAGTGTGCTACTGCATGTGCATGCCTTAAGTTAGCAGCGGTTCATATTTTTGTACTTTGTCTCTAGGTTGTTTTTTCTGCCTGGCCAGGCATGCCCGCCTGTTCAATCGGGCAAGTTGCCCCTGGGGGTATGTCACCCGGGGTACCCGAGCAAGTGAAAAAGTGTGGTTATACCTTTCTCGGCCTTTTGGCTAAGATCAAGTGTAGTATCTGTCCTGATCAGTTTAATATCTGATCCGTGGTCCATCGGGCCACATGATATTAAACTATTTTCTCAGGGCTACAAGTGGTCACAGTGGTAGGCTTGCCTACTCGATCGCTCCAGCATTGCCTTCGTATTTCACTGCAGCGAAGGGCGGCGCGGCGCTTCCCCCTCGGGGGGGGGAGTGGTCTTTTTTTGTTGAGGTGGGGGTCTTCCGCGCAGAGGAGACCGAATCCGGGCTCTTTTCTTTTTTTGAGTGTTGGGTGTCAAGGGGTGTTAACGGGGGTATAAAGTGGCTTTGAAGGGGCTAAAGGGGTTTACACGGGGGTTACCTTAGTCGGATTCTGTTATTTTCCATTTTTTATCTTTTATTCAATGAGGAAACCAGATGTGACCATCAGACAAAACTTGTTCCCATTGCAAATCTACACAACATACTTTTTCCCGGATTTTTTTTGAAAACTTTCACTTTTTATTTTGCGCTGGGGCTGACCGGAACTCTGCCGGGGGGTCATGCCCGGCCGGGCAGCCGGGCATGCTTCCGGGCAGAAGCTGGGTGCCCGGGCGCCCGGAAAAACAACCTAACTTTTTCTTTTTAGTGAACGGGAGTGTAACAGTGTTTTTCTGTACTCATTTCTCCTCCTCTCTGAACGGCCGTGAAAATGCAATAGAAGAAAATCATGCACAGAAGCAAGTCAGAGACCATGAGTAGAAAGGTGACGTATTCCTCAAAGCAGTAGGATAGGTTGTGATGGGAGCTCCAATAAAACACAGAACCAAGTGGGGAAATTCAGATAAGAGTGAATTGTCACAGAACATGGGGCATCCCTTCCATTGTATTTCCGAATTGAGTTGCGCGACATTTGACAGGAAGAAGCAGGGACTGAACTTAGCTGTCAGGATGATTGAGATCTCAAACCTGCCCTTCTCCCTGAAAAATCGGGCCAACTCCTGCAGACCCAAAAAAAACTTTGGCGGTCGGGCCAACTCCTGCAGACCCCAAAAAAGCTTTGGCGGGATTTCAGTCCAATGGGTCTGGTAACCAGCACAGTCCTAAGATGTAGTGGTGGTTTCATAGGTAACTTGTGCTGCAGCTGGGGTTCAGTGAAGTGGTGGTGGCCCATAAAGAAAACCTGGTTCTGGTAGGGAGACGGTTCCTTGCGGCTTGGCCTGAATGCCGTTTCTTTAACTGCTGACCGGAAGTGCGGATTTTCTTTGGAATCTTGGGAGGTCACCCAGACATGTGCGAGGCCTTGGGCTGTCTGGGGCTGGATCTGTATGTCTGGGCGAGACAGCAAGCTCTGGCCATCAAGGGTGTACAAATTCAAAAGTTTTTAAAATATTTCAAGGTTTCTAAACGCTGTGGCAAAATTTCATGTGAGTGTTCCCTGTGTAAGAAAAAAAGGAACTGGAAAATGTATGTCGTGAAATTATAACACAAACAGCTTCTGGTTGACGGTCACTGCAAATGTCTACCTTACCGAATTTGTGATAAAATTATGAATGCATGATAATGGACCCGGTCAGAACCTCCTTCAGACCTCTTCTGACACGCAGTGGCATCCTGTTTGTCAAGGGTGTACAATATTTTTGGGAAGTTTCAAGCTTTTCTACGAGGTCTGGATGAAGAGTTATATTCTGATGTGAAATTGGAATACAAAGGAGATTTGGGCTGAGGGTCGTTGGAAATTTTCTCCTTACCAAATTAAGGATATAATTATGAACGAACTACAAGACACCACTTCAAAATCTCCTTTTTACCCGTTCACACGCCTGGTGAAACGCACAAACACTCCTTGTGAAATAGGCTTGGACTCGGGACGGGTTGGACATGAGCAAAATAGTCATATTGATTCCAGGCTGAAAATATGTCTTCGTGTATTCTCGCACAGATGGCCGCAGGATTTTACAGGCCGGGTCTCCTGGCCGTATGGCCTTGGGCTGAACCACCTGGAACATACCTTTGTAATCAAATGTCAGTTGAATTGTGTTTATTCTGCTCTCTACTGTTTTGCTCTCTTCTAGCTGGTCATTGTTCGTACTCCTAATCACGCTCGAGGCCCTGTTCGGAACAGCTGGCTGTGTAGGGCTGCTAGGCCCTGGGTCATGGGTCCACGAACTACAGGCCTGGTAGGCGCAGGAGGGGTACCTGGTAACTGCCTTGGCCCGGTTGGTTTTGTTCAAACACGAAGCTTCCAGTAGGCAGTACCTACAGGCCGAAGCAGAGCCCGGCCGGTGTAAAGGGCAGGCAGTCGACCAGAACTACATTACATTTGTAGGTGCTGAGGAAGTAGACAGGCACCATAGCTGGGTAGGCACTCACACAGTGAAGGTGGTGATAGAGCAGAGGAGAAGCTCCTTGTAAGGCGATGAAGGCCGTAGAGAAGATTTGCGGATACGTACCTGGTGGTTGACATGGAGAGCTACAGCATGGTTAGACTCTTCAGGTGGTTATCAGCAGAAGCGGGACACAGCTTAGCGGCATGGTGGATATGCGTAGAACAGGGAAGGCTTAGGCTCACTGGTTAGATATACCAGGGGTGAGTTCTTGTATTGGTATGAGCTCAGCCTTCTCGGTTGTTCTTTGAGTCTGGACTGCTCATTGATGCTGATCAGTGAGCTCGTGCTGGGGCATGAATTGAGTTCCCATCGGCAGGGCGGTTTCCCTGGAAGCTTGGCATCCTAGCTGGCAAGTTGCGAGATTATAGTGCCGGTGACAGGTTAGCTGGCAGTGTGCTGACTTCTCCCCAGCTGGACGACCAGAAATGAGCAAGGGTGACCACACACCCACACCCACCTGCAACCCCCTGACCTGTGAGTCGATGGGTCAGATTTGAGTGGCTTGCTTGCGGGTCTAGGAAAGTGGGCCTGAGTTGGTAATGGGCGGGTCTAGCTTTGACTGGGTTCACGTGCGGGGTCGGTGACACGTGGGTGAGGCATGCCGCTGGGTAAGTGACTTGCGGCTGAGTCTTTGGACTTGGTTACTTTACCTACAGGCCCAGGTTCCCCCCCATAACTTCCCTTCGGCCTGGCTGCGAAGCCAAAAAATAAATAAATATTGTCATTACCATGCATTGACCTGGCTGGTGGCTGAGGATTTGGCCTGGGTCCATGCTTTGGCAACACATTGAGGAAGAAAAAGGAATGTCCTTGGTGGTTCGATGGTGAACAACAGTTTGTTAAGTGTAACAAGCGGACCCACTGCGGCTACACTGGCAGGACAACAGGGGCACATGTGCCAAGCAATGTTTGTGGACTCATTGTCTGTCAACTGACAGAAATGTACATGAAGAAAGGAGAGCAATGTCTCTCTGTCTCTCTCTGGCTCTTTCGCTCAGATGGAGAGAAATGTACATGAAGAAACAGAGAGTAATCTCTCTCTCTCTCTCTCTCTCTCTCTCTCTCTCTCTCTCTCTCTCTCTCTCTCTCTCTCTCTCTCTCTCTCTCTCTCTCTCTCTCTCTCTCTNCTCTCTCTCTCTCTCTCTCTCTCTCTGTGTAAACGGAAATGCACATTGAGGAAAAGACTAACGTCTCTCTCTCTGTCTCCCTCTCTTTTTCTTTGTGAGTCTTGCATTTCTGTGTCAACGATCATTTCATCGTTCACCAGTCGTCGGTACCGAAGTGCACAGAGATGACCCAGTGATTTGTGTGTACATCTTCATCTCTCTCTCTTCGTCTCTCTCTGTCTCAGCATACTTCTTTCTCTCTCCATCTCTCTTTGTCTCTGTCCAGATGCACCCACGGGCTGCCCTTTTGGAGCACATGGAAGAAACGGGCACTTCCAGGGTGTTCTAAGAAGTTACCGCTCCTGGTGTTGCGTGGAGATCTTTTGGAGTTTGGTAGGATTTATGGTGGCTTTGTGGACTGACACAGAGGGCTCTCTATTCAAACACAAGACATTTCGATGCTTTGTGAACTATGGTGGTCCGTCACCGAACACTACACAACTCACTGGTGATTTCGTCCGCAGTGGAGCGAGATGCACAACATACTTGTATTCGAACATTTGGGATAACACATTGGCCCACGGAACTGACTGACCGTGACAATGGCAATAATGCACCAAAAAAAAAGAGGAACCGTGCAGTCCTGCAATGATCCCACCCGCCCACAGTTTCTGCTGGGCCCAGTGTGGGGTGTCAGCCTCCCACTGGCTATCTCAAATCCGTGCTACCACCCCCTTGGGCCATGTCTCTCCTATCTTCCTGCCATCTGTTCCCCACACCCCCGCCCTCGCCCCATCTCCCCTCATCTGCCCCATTGCCACCCTGTCTCCCTGCCATCTCTTCCTGCCTCTTCCCTGTGTTAGGACAATTTAATGCTAATGGAGTGGGCGGGGGAGACTAGGGAGCGAGAGGTTCTTCATCAGCAGCACAGCATTGGCATACTCACCTGGGCGCAATAGCTTGGGATGCTACTGGCCTATGGCCGGCCTTCACCCTGCGACCTGCATCAGCTCAAGACAGCATCTTTTGCTGTTGGTCAGCAATGACATGAGAGAGAGAGAGAGAGAGAGAGAGAGAGAGAGAGAGAGAGAGAGAGAGAGAGAGAGAGAGAGAGAGAGAGAGAGGTAGGTTATTCCGTCTTTTCATACCCGCGTCTTCTCAACATACATCTAGGGAGAGAGGCAAATCAGAAACATGGCTACAGTTCAAGCAGGCTTTCTGCCCAGGTGCCGACTTGACATTGTGNCGTCTTCTCAACATACATCTAGGGAGAGAGGCAAATCAGAAACATGGCTACAGTTCAAGCAGGCTTTCTGCCCAGGTGCCGACTTGACATTGTGACTGTAGGTGGGATTTCGAAAGAGAGTATTATTTTTGGCTGTTACATGGAGTTGCACTCTTTTCTTCTTCGTCTTCTTCCACCCTTCGTCTCACGCCTCGTCATCTTGTGGTCAAGGAGGGATCTTTCGTTAATGTACACTCCCCTTGTTGCATCTTTACATGATGATGTTTGTGTGTGTTGGGGTAGAGCCTAATGAGTCAGATTGCCGTTGTCAGTCTTCCACTGCTTTGCATTACCGTTTCTCTTCCCCTTGGTGATTTCTTGGTCCTGTACCATGCCCAGATGTTGAAAGACATGTGATGTCGAAAAGGGCTGGATAGAACGGAGTTCCGTGCCGTATGGGTTGCCATTGTTATTTGTACCCAAGATGGGTGGTAGTCTTAAAATGAGCATCGATTACAAGGGGCCCAATGCCATCACCGTTTGCTTTGCAGAGCCCTTCGCCAGTAGGAACGGGAACTAACATACCTTTGCCGTGATTGACGGATTCTCGAAGTTTTGCAGATCCGTACTCCTATTGGAAATAACCAAGGTTGACTTAGTAGTAACAGGTAGTAATATTGTTCCTTACAGGTGAGCTTAAGATTTTGTATTCCTTAAGGCTGACAGTGCAGTTTACAAGCGAGCAATTGCAGTCCTTGACACGAGCGTACAAATCTGAATTGACCATGCATTTTAGGGAACCTCGCTGAAGCAAACGGATGGGTTGAGCAGGTCAATGAACAGCTACAGCGTCTACTATGGCATGATTTCACCTGAAACCAATGAGATTGGGATGAGCGAAGGCTAGCCTGTAAAACGATGTGATTCACTCAGCTACGGGCCGTACCCCAAGCCAGTTAGATATTGACTGGAAACAAAGAAGGGCGAAGGACCTTGTTCCTAGACGAATCATCATATATACCACCTGAAAGTGCAAACAGACTGTGCAGAAAACTGTACTTTGGGGGCTCTGAACCCAATGGGGTGGGAGTGTGAGGCCCCTGGGTCCCATGTCCATGAAGTACAAGCTTGGTAGGCCCAGGAGGGCCCCCTGGTAACTCTGTTAGGGTGCGGTTGGTTTTAGGCTTTTAGCCAATCCAGTAGGGAGTACCTAGAGGCCGAAGCAGGACCAGACCACTATCTAAGCCAAGGCTGGGCCAGTCAAAGGGACATTTGGATGCAGGTTGCCGCCGGGCTGCAGTCGTGTGAAGTGTGTGTGTTGAAGGGGAACGTCCGTGCAGTTGACCAGCACCATATCAGTAGGCATTAAAGAAGAATACATGCATCATAGCTGGTTGGGCGCCCTGTATAATAAGGGTGGTGATAAAGCAGGAAAGGTCCCTGGGAGGTGGGAAGGTCGACGGATACTTACCTGGTGGTTGGCAGGGAGAGCTTGAGCGTGGTCAGACTCTTCAAGCGGTCAGTGGCAGAAGTGGGACAGAGCGTAGAGGAATGGTGATGAGTAGAATAAGTCAGGAAGTCGGATAGGCAGTTACACCCGCTGGTTAGATATACCAGTGGCATGAAGGACTACTCTGTTGTTGATTGGAGGCACGGAGGGGGCTGTCATAGACAAGAGATTTCAGGGCTGTGTCTGTTGCTGGTCTTGTCATGTATGCTGATCAGTGAATTGAGTTGGGCATGAATTGAGTTTTCCCAGGCAATGTTAATATATGCCTTTTCACTTTTGTGCCGCGCTGAACTATGCACTGAATTGGAAGGAGACTGACTTGTCATGTTTGCAATGTTTGGGTTTGTTCTGTCGCTCGATCGTTTGGGTTTGTTCTGTCGCTGGGTCGGTTGGGTTTGCAGGATGCGGTGTATAACTCTCAAATACCACATGAACATGAACACATCCTGGCACCACCCTATGGGCAGATGGGGGTGATGCCTCTGGTGCAGCAACACCAGCCTCAACCACTGGTGGAGAAGAAACACAAGGTCATCGACGCAACCACCATTTTCCGTAAGCCAGGGAGGGACAGGCGTCCCAGTCGTTTTGTCGTAATTCTCCGAGGTCTTCCAGGTGAGGTCAGCCTCTTTGATTGAGGTCTGAGCTCTTGATGATGACGATTGCCGTTCCCTTGATCCAGTGAGCATCATGTTTTTTCTCCAATTACTAGTGGAGTTCAATGATGGCTCTGCTCCTAAATTATATGTTCCTTAGTGCAGCTTCAAAACACAAGCAACTGAAAATTGTGGCGCAGAGAAATAGGACTAGGCTGAGAAAAATCATTTGGTGAAAACCAAAGCTACCTGTCAGTGTCAAGGTCGCTTAACGCCAATTATAGCAGTGTGACTAAATCTTGCCGTAGCTTAGTATGGAAATGCCTTTATGGTGATAGCTATAAGTTGAATTGCCGCATCATCTTACACAGCAATCAGATGTGGTGATATCCTTGATCTGCAAGCTACCCACACTGCTGTCACTGATGAGAGTATCTGTTGGTCGATTTGATTCTCTGCGACTATTTCCAGGAAGTGGAAAGAGCTTTTTGGCCAAAGCTTTGCGAGATGTAGAGGTCATGAATGGGGGCTCTCCTCCACGGATTCACTCAATGGATGACTACTTCACAATAGAGGTTGAAAAGGAGGTATGCACCCGCCCTCCCTCCTTCCCTTCGTCCCTCCCTCGTCCCTCTCGGCTGCATGTCAACCTTGTCTCCTCCTGGTTGTTGCTCTGATACCATCTGACACATGCCTGGTATATGTCAGAGGCAGTACAAAGTCCAAAGATTGCCAACAGACAAAGTGATTCATGGAAGGAGGAATCAGAATCAGAATCAGCATTCCATCCATCTATCCATTCATCCATCCATGTTGGCTGCGTGTCAAATATACGTCAGGTGCCCACATATGAAAAGGAACTGCAGTTATTTTCCATAAAAAACCTACAGCAATAAATAAAATACCCATGAAAATGTCACTTGATTGAGTTCGAGGAGGAGGAGGAAGAAGAGGATGAAGAAGAGGAAGAAAGAGAGGAAGAGGAAGGAGGAAGAGGAAAAAGGAAGAGGAAAGAAGAGTGCAGACGAGGAAGTTGGAAGAGGAGGAAGGAGAAGGAGAATAAGGTAGAAGGAAGAGGAAGAGGAAGAAGGAATGGGAAGAAGGAAGGAGGGAGGAGGAGGAGGAGGAGGAAGAAGAATGCATCAGCCATGCGGTTCGGAGGGCGGGAAAACACAACACACATCTGCAAAGGAACTGCAGTTATTTTCCATAAACATCCTACAGCAATAAATATAATTCCCATGAAACTATCACTTGATTGAGATCCACAAGAAGGAAGAGGAAAAAGGAAGAACAAAGAGGAAGAATGAGAAGAAGAAAGAAGAGTAGGAAGGAAGAGGAAGAAGGTAGAAGGAAGGAGAACAAGTAGAACAAAAAGGACAAGAAGAATAAGAATGTAGAGCAGTGCCAAATAATAATACTCTTCCCCACCTCAATCTTCTCTCCTCCAACACGCCTCCACACAATGTCCCCGATCTCAAGTCACGGGGCCTGGCTCACAGAAGAACGTCAAGAAGAAGAAGAGTGGATAATGCAATGAACCTCTCTCTCACACACTCTCAAGAAGAAGAAGAGTGGATAATGCAATGAACCTCTCAGTTCACCACCAATGAGCGCACACAATCACACACCATGCACGAAGGAGATCACGCGAAGTTCACACTGGAGGCCAGAGAGACGAAGACCAGGCAAGCGCAGCTTTAGAGTTCCAACAAATTATCATACGAGCAAATTAAGAGTTCCAGTCACAAGCGCTCAACAGCGCAAACCCAAGTAACCAGTATCTCCATTCAGGTAAGTATCTCTCTCAATGCTCCTCTCTTCTCTCCCTTGGTCTTCTCTCTGTCTACCACCTCCCTGTGTCTTCTGTCCCTACTTGCATGCACTCACACCCTCTACTACTCGAGGACCAACTCTGAATACACCCACTACTGATTATACTAACCCCTCTGAGGTCTACTACTAACTACTAGCACTGGCGCAGTTATGGCTGCCTTCCTTCTGCCAGCGCCGGGGCAGCTATGGCTGCTCCCTCTGCAGTGCAGCTCCCTGGCTCGGCGCTCCGCTCCTCACAATAGCGCACAAGTGCACCAGCACTTCCACACTTCATGCGAGTGAGCAATCTCCCCCAATGAGGAGGCTGGGCAGTCCTTATGTTGTCTTGGACTGAGCTTCAACTCGTCCCAGCCTCTGCTTCTTGGGGCTTGACTTGTCTCTGGGGCCTGTTTGGTTCAGAATGTCAGGGCCTGGTACTTTTCCCGAATTTTCATTGGTGTGCTGCTGCTTGGGCCTGAGAGTCACGACTTTTCACTTGTGAAACATGACTTTTGACTGTGGATTGTGACTCTTGCCTCTGGGACCCGACTTTTGCTTGGGAGAAGTGTCCTTCGCCTGCGGAACATGACTTTTTAATATGACTCTTCAATATGAGACGTGACTTTTGCCCCTGGGATTGTAATTTTCATCGGTGCCTGTTGGACTCGACTCCTAAGGTACCCGACTGTAACTTCTCTGGGACTGACCGACTTAGCCTCCCTGGCCTAAGACCTTGACCCTGAAATTCGAATTTGGGGTCTGAATTGTGGAAGGCCTTCCAATGAATGGCAATGCCAAACAATGTCTCTGATCTCAAATCGAGGAGCCTGGCTCCCAGAAGCACAATGTCAAGTCTACTGTCGCTCTCCCTCTCACTCTCAAGAGGAAGAAAAAGAGACGAGTTTAAGAAGCAGCAGCATGGAAGTCCCTTCTCTCTCTCTCCCTGTCTCTCGGATGATGTTAATGGTTAAAGGCAGAGCCTTGAGCCACTGATGTGCTGCAGATGTTTGGAAGAAGGTGGTCAGATATGGCCGATGGCAGACCTCCGATGAGTGGGGGCAGGTGAGTAGACTCCTCCACTGCATCCCCGACCTCCTCTAGCTCTACTCAGTGCCAATCTTTGCTTCTCTAATGCTTGGCTGCTCCTCTGTCTCACTCGCAGACTGGAGGCACACACATGATGCAAGACTATCTACCAAGTTACCAACTACTGGGCTGGCCTCTTCTATTATATCACTGGGCCGGTGAGACCACTACCTGGGCCCCAGCCTAGGCAGTAGGATCAGGATGTCAAAAAGGAATGCCGTGTCCTACTGAATTAGCCAGGCCCACAAATGACTAGCACGGGTCCCTATTCAGCTCCATCTCTACCTCACTGTCTCAGCAGCTGGGCCTGGACCATGAACTGGCCTGAGCACAAAAGGTCGAACGCAGGCCCAGCCACGACCAGGTGAGATGGGCCAAAACGGGAAATGGCATAATCCAGAGGTCCGAACAAGACAGACTTGTGCCTGTTTGGATAACAGTCCTGAACACAAGATCCAGGGGAGGACAAAATGAACTGCCATAAAAGAAAAGTTAGAAAACCATACTGGCACCAATAAAATATGCAGCAATTGATAATAAATTGAACGGAATGAAACAGACCAGAAAACAGGAAAAATACATACACAACCTGTCTGGGCACTCACTCTCCTAGGGGCCTCATGATGGCCCGGGTGAAGGACTTGGGAAAGGCCTAGGTGGGTGAAGGGCCTGCCTAAAAGGATTTACAGGCCGCCAGCCTGTTGTGGGAGGCCACAGCATGCCACGCATTGCAGCATTGCTTTTTCCATAGAGTTTCAGCTCACCGTTGTTGCCATTGCCTGCTCATTGGGACTTTCTGTGTCATTGCTTCACTCCACATGTTTGGCGCCTGGGGTCATGATACACTGGTGGTTATTATCACTGAAAGATCTCTGATTGTCATATCCTGTTCTCACTGATCATTGCCATCAACTTGCATCTGTCCCCCGTTTTTCTTCCTCTATTAGTCTCCTCAGCTGCTGTTGCCACTGCCGTCTACATGCAGTGCCCCGATCGGACCTACCTTGTTAAGAAATCCAGATGAGCAAGTCTCTGCTTTGGATGACCGTTCCAATGTACGTTGGAGCAAAGCAAAAGGACAGTCACCTGGCTGGGTGATACACACGTGTAACTGTTGACAAACAGATCAGCAGCGCACATACGGCCATATACAGTAATATTAGGAGCTATGACAACTATCCCAGTGTTCGTGTCTTGAAAAACAGGTGCAGGCCAGCTGCAGCTACATTGCAGCACAAAAAATGTGTGCATGGGTTGAAATAGGCCAAGTGGCCTAGCTCAGTTGGTTGAGCACATAAGTGGTACACAGGAGATCGTGGGTTCGATTCCCCACGGCATGCATTCTATTCCTGCGACCCCCTGTGTGGCATGCTTCGGGTTCACCAGCCGAGAAAGTCGGCTTGTCCCTCCTGGCTACTTTCCAGCTTGCGCCAGGAATTAGGAGACTGGGTACTGTTCCCACATAGAACAGCCGTGGGATATGCTGACGCGAAAAATCCCCTGCTATGGTAGTGTACCTTTCTGGGACACAGAAAGTAGAGTGCTGTGCGAGGCCAGGTCTAGTTTTTCTCTGCTCTGTGGTAAAGACCATGGTTTCCTCTCTGTCAAGGACTGTATTTGTTTCATTCATCACGGGTTGACACCAGTGAATTTCAATGTTTTATGAAGCCTGGGTTCATCTTTCGTATTTTTCTTGATGACTGTTCGCAGATGCTGTGTCAAGCTGTTCAGAATCTGCACAGCTTCACAGACAACGTGGTTCTCAAAGTAGGTACCGAGTTGACATATCCTGCAGCGTGAAATCCTTTCATCCTCTTCCAGCGCCACTGTTGGCTTTTTTGCTTGTTGTGAAACTGTTGGGCTAGGAGTCAAACTGGTACCGATGTGTGTGCCCTGATGAGTATGCAATAAAATCCTCAAGATGACATTATGTGCTTCTCTACTGCTGTTCTGTTGAGCTATGGCAGGTGGAAGTTGATGATGGGGTGTCCACAAAGTCAGGCTCCTGGAGCAAGCGGAAGGTCCTTACGAAGGTCAAGGAGTACTGCTACGAACCAGAGATGGAGGAGGTGAGCCCCACATGTTTATGGCTAAGAAATCAGACATTTATTTTTTATCAGTAAATGGTGCACCAAGGTTTCTCTGTTTCTATGGCTTCTCGGTAGCTCCGGGAGTCAAATGCACTCATTCATTGCTTATATAGACTCATTGCAGACCACCTTAAATTTTCATTAGTGAGTACTAGCTTCTCTTGACAGCAGTCGAGTACATGACATAATATTATACCATGGCATCTTCGCAGACAGTAATGACTATAATGCACCTGGCTACGCCATTGCTGTTTCCCTTCCTTCACCACGACAGTTAGATCATCCCCTTTCTCCACCAGGAACCTATGCAGGACAGACAGCTTATGATCGTTAGGGTCAGGTGATAATAATTCGCCCATGACAGCCTTTCGGTAAAGTGGTGAGGACATGAGCGTCACTGTGGCACATGTAGATCCCACACGGGCCCAGTAGGACCCGTCAGGTAGGTAGGAAGGGGTAGGGACTTAGCTTCGGTCTGGCGCATTAAGTTTTGGTGCCAGAAGTAGGCCCTGGTGCCGGTGACAGTTCAGGCCCTGGCCTCCCTTTTTTTTCCCCAGGCCACACTTGGACCATCGGATTTGATCCAACTGTACGGTCTAATTGATTTCCAGGCCACTCATTCTGGGCCTCACGTTTAGGGCAGTGGGACCCAGGAGAGGCCAGACCAGTAGTATTTATAGACTGGTCGGCCTCTCACTAGGCAGGGGACTGTGAGCTACTATTCAGCATTATGCTGCGTTAGTCTTCAGCCAGAGGTGGTGAGCATGGAGGCTGCTGTGGAGATTGCAGCAGGAGAGAGGCAGAGGCCAGACACTGGGACTTACCTGATGACTCACCTAGGGGCGCCATAGCTCCAGCTTTGTCTTCAGCGCTCCAGCACCGGTGTCAAGGCAACACCTTTGTGTGGTCAGTATCTAGTATCACCAGAGAGAGAGAGAGAGAGATGGGACTCTTCTTCTCCTTCTTCTTCTCTCCCTCGGACCTCCTCCATCATCCATTGCTCAGTATTCTACTTCTGGATACAAGAGAGAGAGAGAGAGAGAGAGAGAGAGAGAGAGAGAGAGAGAGAGAGAGAGAGAGAGAGAGAGAG